TACACAGATTTCTAAACTGATCAGGAGGAAGAAAAATCACCTGTGTTTCGCACATAAAAAGTGGTTATTAACTATCGAAACCTGTTTTTCTAGTTTTTAAAGACGGGCAATGTCTAAGCAGGAACACATCACTATATCTTATATATGAAAAGTACATGATATAGCACCCAAACAAACGCAAACGTGTTTTTAATAAAATGCTTTTATTCATTCATAATCTGACTCACAGAACTCATGTTGCCCAACTATCTGAGGTGCAGCGGCACGTGATGCTGGCCGCGCCGGTTTCCTTGGAGCAGGCCCTGGCTCTGGTTGAGCAGGCTGATGCCGTACCCATGTCTATATCACTGTACAACACTAATTACTTCAGGTGGGTGGCTACTTCGACCTGCGTAGTCTGCAAAGTAACAAGTAATAGGTTTATTCCATGCTGAAAAGAGAAGAGAAAACACGTTTCGGCTGTGAAGCCTTCTTCACATGTGAGAGTCTTCAGCTCAAAATGAAACACTTGAAGTTTGTAATGTAGGGTGCTCTAAACAAGTTAAACTTTGATGCAGGACAAATATATTTCCTACAATCTATACTGATTCTCTCTGATGCAGTGCATCAGTTGGTCAGATGACTGAGGGTGGTACATTATTTCCCACTGCATTCTGGGGAATGTAGTTTTGACAAGAAACCTCCATTTTGTCTCCATCTATCACTCTCTCACAATGCATCATGCGTGAATGAGTCAAATTAAAAATAAAACGTGATTACAAAGAAAGTGGATTACAGTAATACTACCAGCTATATAAACACATATATTTAGACCCCTAAATTGATATCGTTATTAATTTCTTTAGATACGTGACTCCGTATTATATTACCCAATTATTGAATTCTAAAAAGTATGCGTAACCTGCAATACTGAGTGCAGTTATTCATGGAAAATGTTAATCACTTAACTTTGAACGTTTTGTGATATATAGAAATACCAACAAATTCAGTATAGTGTCGATAATATGATCAGTAATAATGACAGTAGTGGCAGTACAGTTGCAGTTTGAAATTATTTGTCGTTATTAATAAATCATTTAGCTTCGAACATGTTGTGATATTTAAAAATATCAAAAATGTCAATATAGTGTCCATAATATTTCCTATTTTAGTTTTTCAAAGAAATTTTTATTTGTTAAAAGAAATTAAAGAAATGGAGACATTTCCACAGAAAGTGTACCACTGTGATAATTTGAGCTACAGGTAATGTGCGAGCCGGCTTGCCAGAGTGATTTTGTCACTGGCGGGGGTGAGGGGAGATCTACTGTAGCTCAACTTGGTTCCCTGTTGAGTGGTGCCGGAGGCCTGGATTCGATCCCCCTGCGGTGTAGGGTAAATACCCAAATGAGCCCGAAAGTGCTACATTATGAATAATATCTTCCATGTCGCATTAACATTGGAATGTTCTTTTTTACAAGTGTAAAAAGAGGCGATACACAATGTGTCTCCTCTATAACTCTTCTGTTTACAGAGAAATTCCGCCAGAGCCTCATAACATTGTCCAATAATACTCTTCTTGTGTCTAATTTTTAGTTATATCGTTATTAATTTCTTTAGATACGCGTTTCTATATTATATTCTGTATTAATCCAATTCTAACAATGTCAAAATAGTGTCCATAATATCTGCTATTTTAGTTTTTCAAAGAAATGTTAATTTGTTAAAAGAAAACTCATAGCAACAGCTGGGTTTGAAGCGCTGACCTCAGGCATGCAAGGCACACGCCTAACCCATCAAGCCACAGACAAAAGCACATGGGAAGGAGTGAAACTGATGCAGACATTCCACAGAAAGTGATAATTTGAGCTACAGCATATGAATATAATTATATTGTTATTAATTTCTTTAGATACGTGATTTCATATTATATTCCCTATAAATCAAGTTCTTAAAAGTATACTTTTACGTACCGCAGTCCAACGCAGTGAACTTTGGGTAATTTCGCGAGGTACTGGGTTGTACCATGCATTTTGAATGGCTGCATCTGTATTGGTATCACTTTATTTAGAGACTTTAATCTGAGATTAATAGGAGGAAACCTTATATGTGTATTCAAATTTCTTAAAGGCAGTGACAAAGTTATCCCATCAGATTCCTTAAGAATGAACAGTTAATTACAGTCTAATGACAAATAGAAACTCTGTGGAAATGGGGCACTTCTTAAAACAAAGTGGAAAAAGTTCCCCAGCCATGTTATTAAAGCCAATACTGGCTTTATTGAAGAAATGGATGGAGGAGATTCATAGATCTCTGGGCTGAATGTCCTCTTTTTGTAACAAACATGTACAAATATTTTTGCCTTTTTGTTTAAAAAAAACAACAGCATTTTCTGTAAACAAGGGTTTGACTGTCATTACATTGAATTCAATGCAGTTTACAAATTGTATATCCTTGTATTATTACAAATTTTAAATTTTAAATTTGAATGCACTCAGCTCTCTGTAGTACTACTTTTTCAGTTCTCCACAGAAATAGCCACAGTGTTCAATCCATGTCAATGTAGACAAGGTGGAGACTTCTGTGATGGCATCATATTTTCACTTTTTGGAGGGAGCAGACCACATGGAGTTATGTAGGACAGATGATGGAGTTTCAGAGCAGGGAGCAGAGCATATAGAGATTTGGAGGAGGGAAGAGGACGTCCTAATATGGACACACTATTAATCAAATGTACATGCAAATTCCTCAATAGATGCATGCTTGATTAATATAACTTTTTGCTACAACAAAGCATGTGATTGTAATACTTGTTTGTTTGTTTTTTACTATACAAAGCAATTTTCACTTCGTAGCAGCTTCCCTTGTGATCTTTTTGACTTGGTGGCTTTCAGCATTGAACACTGTTCTAATTTGTAGCACCATCTTGGGAAAATGTGTTGCCACTGATTTAGGTATTACAAGAGAAAAGAAGGAAAGCATTGACAAAATCAAAAGATATGTGCTTTGCCTTTAACTTCAGCAGTGTGCTGTAGGTGAGTGCAAAAAGAGAGGCAGGAGACTAAGCTCACTGGGGTTTTTTCCCTTTGTTGTTACAGGTTAGGGTGAAGTGCTTTATTAGGGGGTGGTGATTGGTTGTGCTGGTTTATTGGGCATCCCTATTTGTCATTTCCTCACTAGTGGACACCTATGGCCCTGTCTGTGGGTTTATGACAGATGATCTCCAGCCAGGGTCGAGAGCTGCAGTATAGTTATTGCTTTGCCACTACAGAATGGATACCCTATTAGATGTTGAGAGAACAGATTAATAGCTAGAGTAATAGTAATAGATTAATAAGGAGTAATAGCTAATGTGGTTACTGTTCTTAGACTTTTTTTTCCTTGTGACACTAATTTGCAATGGGGCTAAAGATATCTGTCATGTAGCAGATGTATAGGGAGAGTATAGCATCCACTAGCTATGCATTAATTTTAGAAAGAGAAAGAAAACCCCTGCTCCTCATATAAGATTAGGGAGAGAGAAGAGAGTGAACATGTGCTAAGGGCGGAGCGGTGGCACTGTGCCAAAAGATCTGTCCCTGTGGCTGGAAGGCTGCTGGTTCAAATCCTGAGGCCGGCAAAGGAATCCTACTCCGTTGGGCCCCCGAGCAAGGCCCCAAACCCCATCTGCTCTAAGGGTGCCATATAAATGGCTGACCCTGCGCTCTGACACCAAGCTTCTCTCTCCCCATCTGTGTCTCATGGAGAGCAAGCTTGGGAATGCGTAAAGACAAATTCCTAATGCAAGAAATTGTATATGGCTAATAAAGTTATCTCTTATCTTATAAGGGTAAAAGGTGGAAGCTCAAGGAGCAGTCCATTTCTGAGGGCAAACTGCTACACAGCACCTCCCTTAGCTCTGCATCACCAAGGAAAACCTTTTGATTTCCCGGAGGTGGACTAGCTATTTGCTCTGTCTTCATGAGGTTTAGATGAAAGCTTGGCTGAGCCTCACAGCAGTAGCTTCTGGATCCTTGATCAAAGGGGTTTCCATACACCTCACATTGTCCTGGGCTGGGGGAGAATTAAGTGTTCCTAGGGGAAGCCAGCCCAACAGCCCTGCGGGGGGAAGCATGCTATATATCTAGTTTTGCTCACTTTCTCTATAAATGGGCACCCGCTGACAGACCAGTTTGAGTTTCAGGCTGGCTTTAACTGCCTTCCCAAGAGGATCTTAATATGTGATCACTTTCTTTTTTATCACCTGAGTTCAGCAAAAGACCGACTCCCTGACCTTCTGGACTGGCGTCTGTGTCACAGATAAATGACTTGGGATCTGCATGATGCAAAGAGAACTGCAGCAGTGCATAACACACTTGGATGTTATTGTCGTTGTCACATGGCATCTGCTTTTTACGTCCTGTGAATGAGTCCGGGTCCAACAGGAGTCAACCTGGAGGTGAAAATTGCAGAGTGGCAATACTTTAAAGGACCTTTTTGGGTTGCTTCTATCCAGGAAACCTGCATATGTTTGGGGCTAGACTTCATATGATTGGCTCAGGTCCAGCTGAATCCCTGACAAGGATCCATCTGTCTTTCAGAAGGCCCATTGCATGCTCTTCACACTTAAATGTGCAAAAGGTTGTCCCCAGGTACCAGCTTATCAGGGATCATACTCTCTAGTTCACTTTTCTCCACCACCCCCAAAGTTGAACTCCACTTCTCTCACAGGGGTGAGGTGCATTCACTGAAGACCTCCTTAACATTTTATGCCTTCTGCAGTGCTGTCTCAAAGTCTTCTGGGGCAACTAGATGACATTATAGTCAGTCAGCAGTGAGGCTGTAGATGAACCTGTAGGTGGTTAGTTTTTACTGGGTTTCCTTCAGAAAATGGGGTTAGCGGAGATTCACAGCAAAGACTCTTTGCTGTTTCTATCCTGACCGCCACTTGTGGCCCATAGGCTGCTCCTTTAGCACCATTATGGGTGTATTACCTACAAAGTGGCAGTTACAGCCAAGTAATTAATCATTTCTTTTTACAACAGATTTAATAGCATCCCCTTGACTTTTCCATTCCCATTGAATGTAGATTCAATGACAGCTACCTTCTCAAGCGACCAGCCATTCAGGTGAGCGACCAGTTCAAACTTGATTTTAAAGGCCTCCCACAGTTCTTTCCCAGTGTAAATCTCAATTTGAGCTTAGCTTCATTCTTATCTTGGCGTCCCTGGCTTCAGATTCATCTCCCTAGATCTTTAAGTAGGCCTTGGTAGGTTTTTGATGTTGTGGCCAAGGCCACACTCATTATAAAGCTGTGCAAGATCAGACTCTCCAGATCAGTTGTGGTATGATTTAGCTTAATTGGTAAACTACAGGTTGTGAGTTCTGTAGGCTCTGGGTGAGCAACACCACCTTTAAACTTTGCTTGAGGGACGGATAAGACTAACATAGTGCCTGTGATTCCTGTTGCTCTTTAGCAAAAGTTACTCGTACAAATCTAGCATGTCAGCTTTTTGTTTCCATAAATGTACAATGGGTATAGAAAGTCACCGCCCCCTTTCAAAATGTGTGCTTTTGTTGTAAGACACTCTAAAAATAAAAACTAATTAAATTAAGCTTGTTCAATTTTTATTTACACACAGTAACAGTAACATTAGCCAAGTGAAAATAAAATTCTAAAACATTCTGAAAATTAATTAATATTACAACAGTAAAATACCTTATTAGGATAAGTGAACACCCCCCTTACAATTGCATTTGTAATCTTGTTCAGGTATAACCAATCACCTTACAGATCACGCAACAAACTAATTGCCTCCCACCTGTGATCAACTGTGGTGATTTTCATTAGTTTAGAATAAAAGCAGCTGTTTCTAGAGGATTCCACTGCTTGGAAGTGCATTTCAAAGTAAAGAATCCACTAGGGGCGGAAAGGTGCTTTCAAAAGAACTTCAAGATAAAGTTGTAGAAAGGCACAAATCAGTAGATGGGTGTAAAACTATTTCAAAAGCTTTAAGTATCCCATGGAGCATAGTAAGGCCATCATTAAGAAGTGGAAGGCGTATGGTACCACTCAGACCCAATGGCGACTTTGAATGAGCTACAGGCCTCCACAAATCTGGCCTGTATGGGAGGGTGGCAAGAAAAAAGCCATATCATGTCTAATTTATTTTTTACTAAAATGCACCTTAAAGATTCTGTGGCCAAGTGGTAAGAGGTCAGACAAGACCAAAATCAAACTTTTTGGCCAGAATGCAAAACAGTACGTCTGGCGAAAACCCAATACATCTTACCATCTAAAGAACACCAATCCTACAGTAAAGCATGGTGGTGGCAGCATCCCGTTATGGGGGTGTTTCTCTTCTGGGACTGGGGCACTTGTCAGGATAGAAGGGAAGATGAATGGTGCAAAATAAGGCATCTTCTTGAAGAAAACCTCCAGCCCTCAGGCAGGAAGGGGAAAATGGGAAGATGGTTCACCTTTCAACATGACAATGACCCATAGCATACCACCAAAGCAACCTTATTTTGCTTTCTTTTTTCATTTGGATTTCGCAAGTTACAATTTGCAAATAAAACTGGAAAAAAATGGATTTGTCTTTTTATGCTTTAGGGCAACAAATGTGGATATTTTGAAAGTGGGTGGTGAGTTTCTATCCCCACTGTAACTTGAACCACAAATTGAATTCAAATTAACCAAAAAGAAAATGATTTTCTTTAATAACAGTTGCAAGGCTCTTGTTTAACTATGTTTAAAGATCTCCATTTCAGATGATAGAAAAGTATAGTTTCTGTGAGACCGGTAGTGGTTCAGTTGGTGATGTTGCCCATATATTTTGAGGAGGAAGTGTATGTGCTGGTTTGAATATACAGTAGGTAGAGAACCACAGTGAGCTTGGTTTAGGTGAAACTGTTACAGTAATATCACTGAATGTTCCTGCTTTGTGTGTGGGCTATGCAGGGTTTGACAAGACGTGAACTGAATCTGTCCTGATGACTAAGACAGCAATTACCTCAGGACCTAGACAAGTGGCGAGCTGTACCTGGACTATGCATGTATATTTGACACTCCTGGTTTTGACCCAGATATTTTATTTTAAACAGAGTGAAATATCTTTATTTATGGAGATCCTGATCTGTCATTTTTTACTCTCATGGATGTTTGCATCTTCATCTATGGCTCTGTATTGTAACATGTATAAACTCCACTAATGCAACAGCTCTTTGACCCTCCACTTGTTTTTCCCTTTTTTTCTAGGAAATACATCCAGGTGTGTATGCAAAACATGTCGGACATGAACTTCTGTTTGTTAAACCACTGTCTGACAGAAAAACAGAAGAACACAACACTGGAGCTGGTGCCTGTGAATATAAAACCACAACAGGTAAATCAGTGTTTTCCAAGGATTGAAGACATCTTTATTAAATGACACATTTCATGAAATGGAGATTGCATTTTAGATTTGCATTTTAGCAACATTAGAATATGGAATTATTTTTGCAGAAGAGAAACACACTTGAAGACAAGATATACACAGACCTCAATAACTACTTAACCAATGCTCATATTTAGCAAAACATTTTCTTAAAATAAGAATTTCATTTTAACGCTCCTAATAAAACATGCAGTTAAGAAGTTTTTATCCTATACATGTATTCTGTATTGTTCACAAAGACAGTACTGTAGTCATGTGATGATTTAAATTTACTAACATAATTGGGGTAGTAATTTCGAAAGTGTCTAACGGCTACTAGGAATCAAACAGTAAGATCGAACAACAACAATATACAAATGCAGCCATTCAAAACGAGTGGGTTATACCCGTTAAAATGTGTTGGGCATGTCGCGGTATAACAAGGGTTACCGTATAATACCATATAATACTGAATAATACCGCAAGTAAGATAATAGTATCCGTAATTATTGCCAGGTGGAGCTAATAAAGCTCAACCTCTCATGTACAGCGTTTGAGCTGTCGCCATCAAAGTCTTTACCAGAGATATTACTAATAGTATTAATAATGAATGACCTTGGACAGACTGTAAACTCAAAGTATTACTCTGGTCCACATTCTTTGTAACTGTCTTTGTAAACGAAAATACTTTATTTTTTCATTGACCGCCTTTGTAAACGAAAAGACTTTGTTTCATTGACAAAAAGTAACACCACAGCATTTAGATGATCCAATCACGCATTTGTTTCCAATCATACAAAGTAATTCTTGAGAATCTCCAATTCACCATGCCTTTCACATGCTCATAAAATATGTTAATTTAGGAACATAAACATATTACTGTATGTAAACTGTACTGTATATGGCTAGTCTTGCTATTTTAAAGAAAAAATACACACCAGTATTCCATTTCTCCCTAACCATTTTAAGCATCAGTCTTACATGTGGTTATTTCGGAAACATTTTTTACGTGTTCCCTGCTCCTTCTGACCATGTCACTGTACGTTTATACAGTATACAGTACTTTGTGAGAAAAGTGATAGTTTTAAGCTTTTCTGTGAATACGCTCGATATCGGAGTAAACAAAAGCATACTTTTAGAATGATTAATATATATTTTATGATATGATTTGTCCAGAATAAAAGCAGTTGTTTTTAGAGGATTCCACTGCTTTTTAAAGCAAAGAGTCCACTATGGGAGTTTAAAAGAACAAGTAAGGAGATGGGTATTAAAACATTTCAAAAGCTTTAAGTATCCCATGGAGCACAGTCAAGGGCATCATTAGGAAGTGCAAGGCGTATGGCACCACCCAGACCTTGCCTAGATCCGTCCGTCCCTCCAAACTGGATGACTGAGCAAGAAGGAGACTGATCAGAGAGGCTACCAAGAGGCCAATGGCAACCTTAATAATATTAATTATAATTATAATAATTGCTTACACTTATATAGCACTTTTCTGGACACTCCACTCAAAGTGCTTTACAGGTAATGGGGACTCCCCTCCAACACCACCAATGTGCAGCATCCAACTGGATGCGACGGCAGCCGTATTGCGCCAGAACGCTCACCACACATCAGCTATTAATGGGGAGGAGAGCAGAGTAATGAAGCCAATTCAAAGATAGGGATTATTACATCTTACCATTTTACCATCTAAAGAACACCAATCCTACAGTAAAGCACGGTGGTGGCAGCATCCTGTTGTGGGGGTGTTTCTCTTCAGCTGGGACTGGGGCACTTGTCAGGATAGAAGGGAAGATGGATGGTGCAAAATACAGGCACATTCTTGAAGAAAACCTCCAGCCCTCAGCCAGGAAGTTGAAAATGGGAAGATGGTTCACCTTTCAACATGACAATGACCCAAAGCATACTACCAAAGCAACCTTACAGTGGCTGAAGGACAGGAAGGTGAATGTCCTCGAGTGGCCTAGTCAGAGCCCCGACGTAAATGCCATCAAAAATCTTTGGAATTACTTGAAGAGGGCAGTCCATCAACAATCACCACACAGTTTGACAGAGCTTTAACAATTCTGTAAGGAGGAATGCGCAAATATTCCTCCCTCTAGGTGTGCAAAGTTGGTAGAATGTATCCAAACAGACTCAAGGCTGTAATTCAAGCAAAAGGTGCTTGAATTAACTCGAGGATGTTCTCTTATCCAACCCAGTTATTCTACTTTTTGCTTTCTTTTTTCACTTGGATCTTGCAAGTTATAATTTGTAAATAAAACTGGAAAAAGTCTTCTTTTTATGCTTTAGTGCAACAAAAGGTAGACATTTTAAAAAGGGGGTGGTGACTTTCTGTACCTACTGTAGTATATCCACTTATGTTCTGTGATCCAGTGACATCATAAATGCCTGCTAATGTGGTAGTAAATTTCTGTGTTAGCACTTAATTAACAGACCATTTGTTTCATTTTTCTTTTGGTCAAAGCATTGTCTTCAACCATCACCTAGATTTAAAAAATCTTAGAATTAAAAAGCAAAATATTTTATGCAAATAGTTATAACACAACATTGGACAATTCAGCCCACGTAGTTGTCAACAAGTCCTCATTTGGGTACATCACACAATGGGAGCTTTCTGTCTTCAAATGTGTCTTGACTCTGCCCAGCAGAAAGCTGGCAAGAACCATTAGATCTTATTTCTGTTGGTTTCCACAGTTGTTAAAATGTTAAAATTATTTCACTGGATATAATAGGTAATTATTTCATTTTTCTCTAGAATGTATACAGTAAGCAGTCTGTGTTCTGCTTGTGGGAGGTAAAGTGGACCACAGAACCACCTTCTTGTCTGCAGTGTGTTTTCACCATCAGCTTCTCACCCATGACTGAGGAAGAACCTTCCTTTCAACCATACTCGTATGAGTTTCAGCTGGATAATATATCTGTGAGTGACATCTGCCTCCGGCCTGGACCTGACCTGCTGGTTTCTGGTTTTCAGCTGTCATGTAACATGCATACCTGAATGGCTGCTGGCACTCTCCATACTTAAAAAATTGAATGAGTTGCAGTTAGTCATTTTGACATGACATGGGATAATGTGCTTGGCTTTGGACTCGCAACCAAGATTTGAGTCCTCTGCTTACCCTTCTAGCTTTTCATTAAGGTGTGAGAAACTCTTGAAAAGATTTGGTACAGTGTTAAAATACTGTCACTCAATACATAATAAAATAACTAAAGCTGTAATAACATGCATAACTTATTACATGAATCTTGCATGTAAGCCTTTTCCAAGGTCTGTGCTGTCAATAAAGGTTCTTATCGGCAAATACATAATTTTGGAAATATGAAACAGAAAACTTTCTAAGATATTTTCGTGGGTTTCACCCAAAGGCTAAAACAAAGGATTGTTTGGTTATTTCCAATTTTTTTTAGGTTTCCTTTTTTTCATTAAAATATGCTAAAAACTGCCATACAGTTCTTTTTCATCCAAAGGGTGATCCGATCAGCCTAATTTTAAGATGACTTTTAGGCTTTAGGACTATATTTTGCATGATTGAGAGACAACACAGAGATACTAGTTTGATAATTTACTTTGATTAATCTTTTCTAGATTTACAGGATATATCCAGGTCCATACTATAATAATTAATCCCAAATAGTGATATGTGCCTTCTGCATGTTTTCTTCTGACAGACGCTCTACAGTGTAAAGGCTCAGATCGTTCCAGCTCTAGGGGTGCAGCACTGCCGCACTGGTTCTCTGTGTTCCCTTAATGTGTCCCTCACACGGCTCTCTGACTTAATAGAGCAGAACAGTGATGAAGGTCTGACAGAATCAGATGTGCTATGCACCACCAAGGTGATGTACGAAGGTGAGTGACCCCCAGTCTCTGAATCCACATATACAGTGAAAGCAAACATTAATCTGTATATGATTATGTTTAATAATAATATACGGAGGATGTTTAACAATATGAAACATATGTCTTATGGGAGATAGTTTGAAAGTTCTACCATTTACATAAAATATGTCCAAGCAAGACCTTAAAATAGTTTCATTTAATGTTAACGGAGTACTTAACCCTATTAAGAGAAGTAAGCTTTTGTCTAAAATGAAGAAAGAAGGGGCTCATATTGCTTTTTTACAAGAAACACATTTAAATGTATTGGATCATGAGAAATTAAGGAGAATGGGTTTCTCAAAACTCTTATTTCTCCTCATATAAATCTGGCCATAGGAGAGGAGTGGCTATACTGATATCTCAAAAGGTTCAATTTGAGTTGCTTACAGAAGTTAAAGATAAGGAGAGGAGATACAGTATGTATTAGTATTGGGGAAAAATGGAAGGGGAATTACTAACATTACTTAATGTATTTGCTCCACCTGGTAGTGATTTTAATTTTAATTTAATTTTAAAAATGGTTGATTTGATGGTTAATGCACAAGGGATACTGATATGTGGAGGTGATTGGAATGTGCGTCTTAACCCCAGGCTTGATTCCACAAATATATCTTCTCAGGGAGATAAGTCACTGTATAAAAAGATTAATGTACTGATGGGGGAAATGGGAATAATAGATCTTTGGAGAGATTTCTATCCAAGTGGGCAGGATTACACTCACTATTCCGTCCCTCATTCCGTATATTCAAGGATTGATTATTTTTTTATACACAAGAGAGATAGACAAAGGATTCAACATTGCGATATTGGTAGAATTGATCTTTCAGACCACGCTCCTTTGTCATTGTCTATACGATTAAGTAATAATCGGGGAGATACAACATGGAGGATGAATTTAAGTCTGTTGAATGATCCACAATGTAAAGCACAGAAATAAAAATATTTTTTTACACATTTGAGAATAAAAATATTTTTGGAGGAAAATGATAATGGGGAAGTGGGACCAGAGATGATATGGGGCACATTAAAGGCATTTATAAGGGGGGAAATTATTGCTCTGAGCAGTCATAAGAAGAAGGTAAAGCAATTACAATTATCTAATCTGAATATAAAGTTAAGAGTTGGAGAAAAAACATCAAGAAAAATAGGATTCAAAAATCAAGCAAGAAATAAAGATGCTTAGAAACAAAATAGATATACACAGGAAAATGAAAATAAATATATATTTACTAGACAAAAATATTACGAATCAGGGTCAAAATCACTAAAGCTATTGGCAAGAAAATTAAAAAAACAACAGACCGATAATACAATATATAAAATAAAGGACCAGAACTGTAATGGTGTATTATTTAAATGGGAAGAAATCCAAAACACTTTTACAAATTATTACAGAAAATTATATATACAACCCCATTCAGAAAGTGAAGAAAAGATGGATACTCTTCTGGAATCTCTCAGTTTACCAACTCTTGGTAAAGATCAAAATAATATATTAAAAACGACAATAACACCAGAAGAATTGAATTCAGTGATTACGAGCCTCAGAGCTAATAAATCAACTGGAACTGATGGTTTTAATTCGGAATGGTATAAAACCTTCCGAGCAGAACTAATACCAAATCTTTTTTCTGCTTGTAACTCGGCATTAATTGATGGAAAAATGCCCCCATCATGGAGAGAGGCTATCATCTCAGTTATCCCTAAGGAGGGGAAAGATAGATTAGATTGTGGATTGTTAAAACCAATCTCAGTACTTAATATGGATGATAAAATGTATACAGCAATACTGGCTAAAATAATTGAAAAGATTCTCCCTCATTTGATACACTATGATCAAACAAGGTTTATTCAACATAGACTAACCCATAATAACATTCGACGCACATTGCATATCATGAACCATATTCAGCAATATAATTTAGAAGCCTCTTTGATGAGCCTAGATGCTGAGAAAGCATTAACATTGACTATGTTAATTTGAAATACCTCTAGGTTTTAGGGTTTTAGGTAGGTTTAGTTTTTGTGAAAATATTATCAAAGGTATTCAGACTTTATATGATAGACCAACAGCACGAATTAAAATAAGTGGTTATTTATCTGATAGAATAACTTTAGAACGAGGGACTAGACAAGGCTGCCCTTTATCTCCATTGCTTTTTGCTCTATATATAGAGCCACTAGCTCAGTGGAAACGACAAAATAGCAAAATAAAAGGTATTTCTATACAAGGGAATGAGCACAAGATCCCACTAGTTCATTTCTAGAAGTAATGAAACTCTTAGGTAGCTTTGGCCTGCTGGCAGACTATAAGTTAAATGTTCAAAAAACACAAATTTTAACTTTTAATTACAACCCTCCCGATTTACTAAAAAGCAAATACCACCTTAAGTGGGACCAAAGTTCAATGAGATATCTAGGAGTCTTTTTACCAAAAGATATTTCTGTATTAGCAACAATTAATTATGGAACCCTTATACCTAAAATTAAATCAGATATATTGTAATGGAACCTAATCCCCTTTATGAGTTTCAGTTCTAGAATTGAATCTGTAAAAATGAATCTACTGCCTCGATTACTCTTCCTATTTCAAGCTCTCCCTGTTGAAGTCTCTGCAAAACACTTTTCTTAACTTTCAATAGATAAAGGGGGTATGGCTTTACCAAATTTGAAAGGTTATTATTTTGCATCTCAAGTTAAACCTCTCATTAATTCCTGTTATCAAGAATATCAAGCCAGATGGAAAGATATTGAACTATCCCTTGTAAATAGCATTATTAGATAATAGGAATTTGGGCAAAATTACTGAAAAAAATATTCAATCCATGGATAAAATTTCAACTAAGGACATGGAATACGATCACAAAAGAGTATAATTTAGGTGAGGCAGTACAGATACGCAGATGGTGCGCCTATGATACAGAGTTTAAACCAAATAAATTGGATAATAGGTTTAAAATTTGGATCACAAAAGGAATAACTGCATTTTGTAATATAATGGATGAGAATCAGTTACAAAGTTTTCAGTATTTGAAGGAGAAATACAATTTGGAGAATTCAGATTTTTATAGATATCTTCAAATGCGCCACTATTTTATTAAGGAGATTATAAGGGGAGATTTAGATATTGTGAATGATGGGGTAGTGAAAATAGTTACAGAAGCCTACAAATCAGAATTAGGTAAAGGTATTATATCTAGATTATATAAAAGTTTTATGGAAAAAAAATCATATTCTACAGAGTATATAAAAGATTAATTGGTGAAAGAAAATGAAGTTGGAATTTTGAATGAAGAGTGGCTTAAAATATGTGAATTTCAATGAAGATGTACTAACTCGCATTTATGGAGAGAGTTTTGCTGGAAAAACATTGCTCGATTTTTCATTACTCTGAGTCAGAAGGCGCACCATACTGAGGAAAACCCTAAGTGTTGGAAACAGTGCGGTAACCAAGGTAATCATTGGCATATATTCTGGAACTGCCCTAAAATAAGGCTTTTCTGGAAGGAATTACATGAGGCCCTAGAAACTATATTTTAAAGGAATGTACCCTTTACATTTGAGGATTTATATTTTGGTAAATTGGTTTTTGATTACAGGGGAACTTTAGAATATTTTTTCGGAATCCTTATATCAGCAGGGAAGAAAGCTATAACAAGAAAGTGGCTTCTCACAAATCTATCAACAATTAATGATTGGATTGAATTAATAAAAGAAATATATATAATGGAAAAAATAACATTTTCACTTAAATTGCAAATGATAAAATATTGGTCTAGATGGGTTCAGTACATTAAACCTTTAAGGTCAGATTTTGTTGAGATACAAAATAATTGAAATTTAATAAGATACATTTATATAGTCTCCTCCCTTTTCATATTCATAAATGTATAAGTCTTCCTTCTTCTGAATGTATATAGTTTTGTTAAAAAGTTATATAATTGTAAAATACTAGGGGAACAAACAGGAATTTTTGCCTGTGATGTAAGGCTGAATAATGGTGGATTATATGTAAAATGGTTTTGTTTTGTTCTCTAAAATAAAAAAAATAAAAAAATAATCTGTATATGTATCAGTGTCATATTTCAATGGCAGCACTGCATCATTTCCCATGGGCCTTGTTGTGTGTCAGGGCATATTGCATGATTAATCTGACAATAAATCAGTGTAGCAATATTTCATGATACAAATAAATCAAGATTGTCTTTTTTGTATACCACCGAGAGGAACCTCTCCTCTAAAGATTGGGACAACCTCACGTAACAGCATCTCTTGTTGGATCAGGTTACATTTCAAGGAGTATTGTGAAAGAGTAACCAGCAAGAATTTGGTTTGACTACTCCCAAGTGCCTTTACCAACTTTTAATGCATGATCAATCTGAGCTGCACAGATCTGTGTAGCGTATGTGTATCTCAGTACAAAATTTGTAACTAAACAAAGGACACAGTCTCATTTAGTCAAGCTATTTCTTGTCAGATTATATATGATAGATTGCCCAATGTGTGTATATATATACAGTATATCAGTTCCCAGCCAAGGCTTAATAAAGTTTAATTAGGTTGTAATATCATAGCAACATAAATACGAATTCTAGAGTAAATATAAACCACTTGGTATAGTTTTCACACTTGCGATAGAAAATTAATATTTTAACATGTTGGCATTTAAAAAAAATCTTTAATGAATCATAAATGTGGTGGTCAACATTTTAACTGTAGATGCTCTGGGTATTTTTAGAGCTGAAGTCTAGTCGAGCCTCAATTTTGTTGTATCTGAAATGGAAAAGTGAATTTTACAAAGCGGTAAAACAAAAAATTGAGATTCAGGGAGTTTGTTTCTCTAAAATCACTGGGAGAGGGTGAGACAACATCCTTTGTATTTTCAGTGACAGTAAAATATCAAAGGTTTTCAGGTCACGTTAAATGCTAGTTAATGAGCATGGTGATGTAAATAGTATAATAGTGAGAAGAAAACTTTTAACTGATTTCCAATAAATGTTTGCTCTCCTTAAATTTGAATGCATTAATATTTTGGAAAAAATTTGTGTGTTTTTTGCTCATGCTTTATTTTGACCATGTAACCATTTTTCTCTAATTTTGAGTCTTTGTGAAACTACATGATGACTAAAACAAAATTGGAGACATTTTCTGCATTTATTTTTGACAAATTTCAGCTGTGGAGCCATCTTCAGATGTGAGTCTTCTGCAGGTGTGAGGAAGTAAGAATAAGAAGTGTCGCATAGAGTTTAGTGAATGTGACATAATTATCATTGACAAAATTTAAGAAAAAATAAGCATGAACATAATAATGAAATAGTTCAGGTAGGTAGCTGCTTCAGCATGCGTAGGCTGCAAAACAACAAGTAAAGGTTTATTCCATTCTGAAAAGAGAACAAAATAAAGGCTTTCAAGTCATGTTGAATGCTAGTTAATGAGCATTGGGATGTAAAGTCACAAAAGAAAGGCTTGACCCAAAGAAGTTTCCACAGCCGAAGCATTGTTTTTCTTCTCTTTTCAGCATGGAATAAACCTTTACTTGTTCCATAATAATGAAATTACAAATTATTGTCTGAGAACAGCTGACTTTGGTCTTGTTCTGTTGTTCTGAAATTGCATTGCTTTTCTGCTTCCAGTGGCAGACAACAGTAGCAACTGGGCGGTGTGTGGAAAGAGCTCAGGGGTGATCTCCATGCCAGTGATGGCCTCTGCAACTCACAAAGTCCAAATGGAGGTAATGCCTCTTTTTGCCGGAAACCTCCCATTCCCCAGCATCAGGGTCTTCAAATATCTGCCTCACCATGCTGCACACTCCATCCAGCCTGACACAGGTAAGTGCAGCATTATTGAACATATCCTTGATACCTCAACATGTGATAGTGAGACGTCAGATGCATTCACCTAGCTAAATCTTAGCAAATCATCATTTAACTGATGATGTGAGCAATAGAATAAATACTGAGATTTACAGAATCATTTGTCTGCTTATGTACAAGCAAATGCTTCCATATGTTTTGGCACTTACAAACTGAAAAAACTCCCCAACAATAAAAAAAAGTCAATGTGGGTGCATCAAGGGAAATCCCTTTGAGGAAGTAACTGCATGATGTCTGCATCAACATCTCCAATGCTCTGGTGAACTGAGTGGATGCAGACACCATGCAGTTATTTCCTGAAAGGGATATACAACCAAATATTGACTTTGACATTTTGAAATGTACTTAAATTGAATGTATTCCAATATTTATAGTCACATTAAATCACTGTTGAAAACCGAAACAGAAGTTTTTTTTGTATTCAGATCTATGCATTGAATTACCTGAAAATTAGCCATATTATATTGAATTTCTAATAATATTGTGATCACAGATACAAGTTGCTTGATTTTAAACAAAAATGAGTTTTCACTTAATAATGTTTAAATAATTTTGAAAGACACCATAGCTCCTACGTGCCAAACAGACTAGATAAGCCACATGGTCATCCATTCCTCTTTAACTATTCTTGTGTTTTCTAGACTTTGTACTTATATTTGTATTTACTGAAAAATGTAATAATTCTATAACAAAATGAAAGATCTTAGCAGAGAAGTTTATATTAATCTGTATTAATAAAATAACAACCATGCCTGTATTTTGTTCATTATGGAAATGTATGTGGTTTTGTGTTTTAGTATTCAAAATATTTTCACATTTATCACAAATTATTATTTTTGTACCCAAATGGCATTACAGCACATCAGGAACTGTGGCTAAAGTGAATTTTCTAAGTTTTACAAGTTGCTTTCTATTGTGTGGAATTAGTCTTGGATAAAATAAACCAACAAAAGCTGAAATCTGCTGAAAAGTTAAATTGTAGCTAATAAGACTTTATTTTAGTGTTGTTATAAATTTAGTACAGGAAAGCTTATTTGAACTTTCCTGTAAATCTTGTGTCCCTCTTCGGACTCTCTGAACTCATTCTAAATACCTATTACCTTCAGAAGTGACTCCTGACCTCCTGCATAGCTGATTATGAAACTGAACTCCAATTACTTTAAGAGAAAGAAATGTCATGAATATTATGGCTGGTATAGTTAGATATAATTAGGTAAGTTATACAGTAGGTGTGTGCAACAGTATGGGAAGACACATGCAGGCATTTATTTACGTGTTTCTTTAATCGTATTGGACCTTTTGATGCAAAAAAACAATGGGTGGAAAAAGATTTTCTTAACACAAATAATTCATACTGTAATCCTTTCAAAGGCTTGGTATAGTCTGGGGTTTATCAGCGTATATTCATTTTCACCTTTAATAACTTTACCACATGCTATTTGATACACATAGAACAGAAATGTGAAACAGATATCAATGTCAAATAATATAGTGTAACAACCTATTGTACTCACTGGTAATTGTTTCATTCTGCATTGTTTCAGATTCAGGGCACCAACACTTTCTCCTATTTTTGCTGCTCAGAGTCGATGCAAAAATCACACAAGAACTGGTGGTGCATATTTCTTCTGTATGTGTCCCATTGTCAGCTCTACCCTGTTTTGTTGCAGACAGCTGGATTGAAAATGACAACCTGTCTATTGACAAGTCCCTGGAAGAGCAGGGGGACAACAGCAGTATCCGGAGCCGCACCAGCACTCACTCTATAGGTAACGAGCACAAGGGGCTGCCCATTCCACGCCTGGAGCCCTTCAGTTCCGGTCAGGTGTTCAACAGCAGCTCTGGGCAGCAGGTCCTGGTGATGCCTAGCAAGGATGACCATGTATTGGAGGTCAACATTACATGACGATAGCCAGCCTGCACCACTACCCACCTTCTTCTGCACTCTCACACTAGACTCTGGTATGGTTGCACTTTACTGGGAGAGCACAGGCAATTTGCAGGCCTGATTGACATGGACATTGTTGCTGGTTTGTTTCAATGTCTGGTTTCTTTTTAATAAGACAAACTCAATGCAGTCTAGCCATCATAGACATAACATCATAGGACTCATGTTTATTTTTTTCCCTTTTTTATGAGACTATTGAAATTTTGTCCCACAAACCCCAACACAAGAAGGAGCCCAGGATGGACTAGATGAGTGTCCTGAGACATCCTGTGTGACCGATCAACTGAGCTAGGTCTCCAAGCATTGTACTGTAGCACAAACAAATGAAAATATTCAATTTCATCTCACACTTTGAACTCATAGCTAATTGACAACAAGACTCTCCCTCACCAGTTTGTAGTATTAAGTGATTCAACAAGTATCCATGATATTCCAAATTACATTAAATTTGGGTGATTAAAACATTAGTTTTAGTCATAATTTGATTATAGTCATTATTTGTTTTCTCCACTGCTATATGTTTCTCCGATTACTCTTTCGTATAAACTTTTCTGCACAGTATTCACATCTGTTGCTGTATAAATCTTTGGATATATTCTATATCAGAAATACGTTTGGAGGAAAAAAGCCCATAGTTATTTTTTTCTTTAGAAATACAGGAGTTAGCTGTGAAAGCTTTGATGTAGAACAGAAATTCCCATTATTCAATTTCATGTCCTCATTCTTTCTCTGTGGCCTGACTGTGTACCATTAGTTAGTCATTAATTCCACACAGTGTCTATAAAGGACCCAGTCAAGACTCAAAGAAATAAGTTCAATCCATCTGTGATTTTAGGTTTCGTGACTGACACCTGTATTTAGAATTGGCCACATTACCACAAAACATAAAAAAACTCCTTTTGAATTAAAAGTGACATACCTAAAATTATAAAAACATATTATTTTTACTTCTTCGGGCTGGTTATTACAGATCATAGTGCTTAGTTACTCTAAAATGCAAAATAATAAAAAATTGAAAACATGTTAAAATGAGGAAAAATGCAACTTATGTGTATATAAACTGTTCATACAGAGTAAGTAAAAAGCTAATAAACTGAACATATTAATTTCTTTTTTCTCTCTGTCTTGTGAGGTCTGTTTTTTGTGTTTTTTACTTTATCCTAGAAGGAGCAGCATGTTCAGTTTCACAGCTGTTTTATGAAGGGAAGCAACAAATAGATGTACAAGTTTTCTTGTCGCTGTCCAGCAATGTCCTCTTAAGAAAAATTATTTTAATGCCACAGGTTACAGTATATCATGTTGGAACACACAACCCTTCTGCCTATACAGGAGAAAGATGGAACACAGTGGGCCAGGCCAGGGATTTTTAAGATTCTCAAGCTTTTTTTGGAAACTAGGAAGGCTACTGTCCAGGACAGTACTGTATGTCTTGGCTTGTGTATGATGATGTATCAAGTGCATCTGTTCTATTAAATTATCAAGATGAAAACTTATTTATATCCAGTAGAGGAAATAGATTATTCAAAAGAGAATGTGAGCTGGAAAGGAGTTTAGAAGACCATGGAGTCTCTTCAGGAGTTAAATCATGATCTATCATGATTTATACCCTTTGGATTCAGCTCCCTCCACAGTGAATCTGAATTTTTGGTCCATTAAAAGTTTTATAAATCTTTAGTGAAGTTTATGTTTTGACACTCTCCTGAAGCAGTTGGATTACTTTGATTACAGAAAACAATGGTGACTGATAAAAACAAATGCAACCAGTCTTTTAATTGTCTTTTCGGTGGCTCCTTAAAACATGAAAGCATTCTTTATTTTCTCAGTACTATTCTTGATCTCTTTTATAATCAGGTGTAAAGATTCACATTTTTTTCATTTCGCACATTGAATTCCTTCGTGATTTTCAGAATTCATTTTTTTTCCTTCTGTTCAATATTTTATTTTTATCTGCTCTTAGTACCAACTGGGAATCAATTATCTGTTCACTCTGTTCTTTTAGGCTAACTCAGCATTTTGCTATGTATCAGGGTTATGTTCTAGCTCTGACAAGAGGGATTATATTACCCTGAAAGATTGATTGTTTCTGTTTCTTAACTAAGAAAGTACTGGGAAACTCCTTGGTCACACTGTTTCAGGTTCAAAAATGTCTAGATGAAGACAATTAAACTTTAGACACTTTTCTCTTTGTTATAATCAAAATAATGATAATTGTTTATTTAATTGTGAAAAACATCAGTAAAGTACTTGTATAATTATTCGTATATTCCTTTTTGGGAGGTGTTACAGCTTTGTAAATGCTGTATTATGTTAATTTCATTGTCACTAAGCTTACAGGGGGTTGAAAAAAAACAAAACTTCTATTGCTTTTACACTGAAACATAATGACATTAAATTTAACATTTAAATAAAATATATATTTTCACAATGTTCTGTAACTTCTGCAATTAGTTCAATACACCTCAGATTGTATTCAGTGGTCTATTTAAATATGTGCACATTACACAGTTCAAAATATAAATGTTTAAAAATGAATTGTGTGTCATTAATTCTTGTATTTAAATACTATATATTACAAAACATTGAAGATGTTGTAAATCATCTGAAATGTTGTTCCTGAAGTCTCTCAGTGTATGTGATTCCTAGTGCTGAGCTGTTTTTAATTAGGCACATACAACAAAAAAATAAAACAGCAATGTTTTGCAAACTGTACTCACACCCTTTCTCTGATGTCTCATAGTGTTGAATTACAAATGATATGTTTTTAAACTGAATATATTTATTCAAAGTTTGAATGATCACCTGACATTCAGGTGTACTGTATATAGTTAATAGTCCACTGATATAGTCAAGAATCAAGCTTTTCAAGCCCTTGAGCAACAGTATTTTGAACTTTATTCTGAAATCCACAGTGCAAGGAAGCTACGTAGATACTGTACTCAAGCAGTTTTGGTTAAGATTCATACATCTGTGTTTTGAACATGCAATTACATAAGTATTACATAACTGTCATATATCATATGCCATTGAATGGAAATGATTAGAAGGCAAAACATAAATGTGGAGCTAAAAAGACATCAACATATGACATAACGGCAAGGCTTATTAAAAATACAGGAATATTTTCTAAAACATCAACATGTCTGTCAGGTGAGTGCTGTACTTTATTTGGAATGAAAATCATTATAGCATTATAGAATACTCTTACAAATTTGCCTCATGTCTATACACTGAACATGCAAAGCAACATTTTGGTTACACCATAAAATGAATATAAATAAACTTTAATTTATTCATTTATTTTTTCAGAAATGTTTGTGAAATGCCTCAGTCTGTTCTCTAAACCATTTCCCTATTGTCTTTCCCTGTAATATAATATACAGTAAACTGTGCCAGGCAGGTACTTAATGATTAATAAAACCCTTAAATATAACAAAATAAAACAAAAGATTTAGCCTTAAATGTGCTTCAGGAATCTTTCTTGGTAAGAAATGCAGTTTATGTTTCAGACATAAATCCTGGTGCTGACATAGTAAAGATGAAGTGCAACACATTTATAATATCCTGCTTCTTCCACTCTGGAGGATGAGATAATTACTTGTGGCCGACCCTGGTAGTAATATGCAAAGGTCTACATCCTAGACGGACTTTTAGCCTACACTTTGTTTGGGCTTCTTTTATAGAGGTCTTCATCTAAATATACCTGCTCTCCAAGGGAATAGGTTTATTAGTAAACAGAGATGGTTGTCACCAAACTTTCTATTTCTAGTTTACCAACAACTGAATTCTTAGATCATCCCTGTGCCTAGGTGTGCCTTAGCAATACATTAAACAACACCTCAAACTGACCTGATCTGCAAATTTCACAGTTCTGGGCACATAGGGACACAGCTAAGCACGTGGTCTTAGCAAGCCTTCTATGTTCCCTTATTATTCCCTTATTAGTAGACCCTTATTCTACTAATAAATATTCCTTTATTAGTAGACCTGTATTGCCTTAATATACTGCCTATCTTTCTTACACCCGAAAAAGGCTCCACAGCCGAAACATTGTTTCCTTTCTTTTCTTTTCAGCATGGAATAAACCTTTACTCGTTCCTTTACAGCCTACACATGCTGCTGCAGCTACCCACCTGATATACTGTGTAGCGGCAAGGCTTATTAAAAATACAGGAATTAAGATTGCTACTCCATTGCCAGTCCCTCTCTCCATCATCTTGGTGGTGCTGGACACGGAGAGGCCATTCCATTTGGTTCACATTGAAGGTGTTTTTCTAGCTGATAGAGTTTCCTGATAAGGAACAGCTCCCAAGGCTGAGATTCACCAGCCAATCTAATAAATGGTCATCTCTGGCACCTTACTGTCTGGGAGATTCCTTAGGAGAGTCGCATCCCAGGTTGTCTACAACTCTAATGTCAGAGAGCATGGTTACTCATCCTCCACCTAGATCAGCCAATCAGGAACTGGTATGGCAGGTTAACCCCATGTGTGTCTCAAATGCCCGCAGAACATTCAACCAATGAACGACCGTAGTTCCTCCAGATAAAACAGGTAGCACAAGGCCCAGAAAGGAGCTCCTCTAGGACATTCTCAGACTCATCTCAGACAATCATGTAATGGCCAGTGTGTCCGAGTGCCAGGACTTTAATGAACGGAGGTTTCCCACACATAACCAAAGGATCTGCCCGAGGTTACCCCAGCAGCAAGCCTTGTGAACTGCCAGTACCCCACTGCGAACGCTCGCCTGATCAACGAGTGAACTACTTCAAACTCTTCGTTACCAGCAGTAGTGTCATTCTCTACCCCCAAACCAATGTGAACACTGAAGCCTTCATGCGCATCAGTAATCACTGCATTTTTTCCCTCTCATCCCAGTGTCAGTCAAAACCCTTCATGCCCATCAGTACTGCATCTCTGTCTGTCTCTGCCCCAGTCCAGTGTCTGATCCAAACCCTTCTTGACCATCAATTCATCCTCTGTGTCTCTCTACCTGAGCCTAATGTTAGCTTTATATCTTTCATGCACTACCTCAGTGTTTTTCTCTCTCCCAGCCCAGTGTCCAGCTTCACAACTTTCTTTTCTGTCAGTACTGCTTCTATCTTTCTCCCCCCAGACCAGTGTAAAGACTAAAGCCTTCATGCACATTAAAAATCACTGTGTGTGTCATTTCTCTTTCTCCCATCCCAGTATCAGTCCAAACCCTTCATGCCCATCGGTACTGCATTTGTCTCTCTCGCTCTGTCTCCTAGCACAATGTCAGATTAAACCAGTGTGAGTTGCACACCCTTCATGCGCATTGTTATTGCCAATCTGTTTCAGTTTCTCTCCTAGTGCCAGCACCAAACCCTTCATTTCCATCATTACAGCATGTGTGTCTCCCCAAGTCAAATTGTCTGAAGGAGCATAGGGGGTAAAGGGTACAACATACTTAAATTAATGGACATAATTCTTTACTCAGGGTCAAGGGATGAGACAGGGCTGTTTAATATATCAATATATATCAATGGGTGAGCAGGAATGTTGGAACAGTCTGCAGATCCTGGGCTCACACTACATGACACAGAGATCAAGCTCCTGCTCTATGTGGATGACCTGGTCCCTGCTGTCACCCACAGAACAGAGGCTGCAGCAGAGCCTGGCACTACTGTTGCAGTACTGTCAGACCTGGACACTGACAGTCAATCTGGGCAAGACCAGAGTCGTGGTTTTTCAGAAGAAAGCCAGAACTCAGGGGAACGAGTGACTCTTCACACCCAACAACACCAATGTTGAGCACACATTGTTAAGAATTATTTATTCTATTAAAACCAAAATAGAGATATAAACCCTTATGCGGGAGCTGGAAAATAAACCTGAATATCTTTCCACAATCTGAAAACGGTCAAAAAGGGAAGCCAGTAATCCAAAAGCCATTTCTGTTAATTTTATGTTTTTTTATATCTATCGACTATATCCTGTGACCAGAGCAGTCTTATTGATGCTTAAGGAAGCAAAAGATCATTTAGGGGTCTAAAAAATAAAAAAAGTGAATAAAAAAGCCTTGAGATGTACATGGTATCGTATGGGAAGCAGCGAAGGCAGGATGTGTACATCGAAGTCACATTGATGATGTGATTGTTAGAACCCTTGTGGCAGCATTTTGCCCTATATGAAAGGTAGATAATGTGCTATTCAGGAAACCTAATAAAATGGCATCACACAGCTTAAATGTGATAAAGCATATATTCTATTCTTGACACACATCCATATTCTTATTTGAAAACACATATTTGTATTTTTTTAGCTTTCTTAATAAGCTATGTTTCTAAGATGGAGAAAATAAACTCTAGGCACCTGGCTTTAATGTAAATCAACATTAAGGTCAGGGTGAAATATTTCAGCAAATTGCGATATTGCATCCCATTGTTAACAATGTGTTCAGCCACATTTAAAGTGTCATGTTATAATGAAGTTTTTTTGGCCCAATGATAAGGACTTTGGCTTTGTTTATCCAGCAATAGTCAAAAAGTGGCTTTGAGTAATTTTTGGTTTTACAGTGTTTCATTTCAGTTTCACATTGATTCTGGACGTTAAACCTTATCCAAGTCACACTGATCTCCTTGTTTGGCATATTGAAACTGGTACTTACATTTATTTCAGAGGAGATTTATCCAGGGAAAAGGTGTACTTTTCCTTCCTTTCGTCTTGATTTGCAGACATAGCTATTATGCTATTATGGCTGTTTACTCATCAATAGTGTGCCAGACTTTTCTTAGAGATGCTAAGTCTTTCTGTACTAGGGTGCCATCAAAACCTTACTGTGGAGTGCATATTCTCTCCTTTGAGGGAATTTCTTATTTTTATAATAAACTCTGCGGGCCTCGGTTTCCTCATGTGCTGAAGCTTGACAATTCCTAACCAGGTCTCAACATGGCAATTTGTGGCTCTTGTTTGTCCATCCTTCACCTTTGATGCTTTCTTCACATTCTGAAGCTTATCTTCCCAAGTCCCCCTAACAAAATTCCTCTCCACAGAGGAAATAACGCCATGTAGTTTTCCAATAGGAAATAAATTATGTCATCAAAGAAATAGGGGTTTGCATTGTTATTTGTTTCACAGTCTTCATCTCTTTGACCTGATGTGGTATCCTCATATGTAGCTTTAAACTCAGCAGCAAAAGGAGAGTGGCCAAGTATGGTTCTCATTGTTGTGTGTACTTCCTCATCTGTAAATGTGACTTCAGCCTCTGTCCGTAAGCTCTGTGTTTGAGAAATGTAAGCATTAAGGATGCTGATACTGGCAATACAAATGTGTTTGAATACATTTTTGGCAACATTCAAAGATGTGCAAAATTTTTCCTTTGCTTTGCCATCCCACTTTACCAATTGCTTGAGAGAGACAGTGTTCTTTAGTTTTCCGTGGGAGATTCTCTTTTAATTTTTATTTAGTTTTTTAGTTCTCTTTCATTGCATGATCTAAGTATGTAAAAATGGTTTCCTTGTTGAAGATTTCAAGAACACTATGAATCAGGGCCCAGCTGTCAGTTTCAACTTGCTGCACTCTCTTGCTGCACTCTCTAGAGATGTCATAAAGGTATTATGAGCCATTTTTTTAAACAGGGGATGGTATGATCCTTTGTCAACATTTCAGACACTTGCATTTTCCAGACACTGGACACTGGCTTATTTTTTCCACTTCCAGGTAACACAAGACTCGTACAGAATTATTTTTTTCTGTG